GGGGGGGGGAGGAAAAAGAATCAGGGGAAAGGGCTAACAAACATGGCCGTTGGAAGCGGTGTGGCTCTGCACCGAGAGGTCCCTATTTACTGTACTGTACAGTGAGTGGGGTTTGCTATTGACTCTGCCTTTCCTCTTCATTCTTACCTTAACGACTAGTGGTGATATAATATACAGAACTGTATTGATGTATTGGGAGTAACAGGAGGAGCCATTAAACAGGGGAGAGAGAAAGTATAATCACAAAATGTGCCTCGATATTTAAACTTAGCGAGTGTGTGCTTAGAAACGCACACGCACCCTCCCCTCCGCGCACTCCAGGCAGTAAGGGCACATGCCTTGTTCTGTGCACCACGCTCCTTTCCCGGGCTGAGCAAGAGACTGTCTTTTTGGACTCGTGCCTTGACCACGCTCCAGGAGAGGACAAGTCCTCAGTGACAAATACTTATGACAGAAATAGTGCAATCGACTTCTCCTGGCCAGAGGTATGTGTTATTGTCTGAGGTGCTTACGCAGGGGAGAAAAAAATGATGTTTGCCTTAGGTGGATGGGAAGGTTTAAACTCTCCGAGTTTGTGTTTTCTTGTGATCTTTCGTTTGTACCGGCTGAAAAAGTGAAGCTTACTGCTCAGAGAAAGCTACTCACTGCATTTCAATTTCAAATTTCCATTTCTTTTTAAATTGATAGGTTCCAGGACTCACCTAAAAGGCACACATCTGTGTGGGGATCGAAGTGACTTCAGGTGTGGCTCCTTGCCTCCTACCGCACATGCATAAATCCGGGAGTCATTCTAGGAGGGCTTGTTAAATGCAAAGCAGTAGCAAATGGATGACAGGCACTTTTAACTGCAGCCTAAATGTAAATATAGACTCCAGCTTGGCCTAGAGTCACACCATTATGGCTGGGGCAATCAGCAAACCTGTTCAAAGGGACATTTGGAAGGATGCTATGCAGAGACACTCATCTTTTAACACTGTAATGATGGGAGGGACCAGCATTTTCACAGAAGAGAGACCCACCTTGTAAGGACTGTTTGTTCAAGGTACAAACGAGAATCTATTTCTCTACACCTTTTATTATTTCAAATGTATATGGAGGGCTTACATCAAAACTACAGGCGACAATTAGTATAAATAACGCTTTAATCAACGGCAGCAAAACATTAGCAAAGTCTATAAAAAGCATCACACTTTAACAGAGATGAGAGTATTGCTGGACAATGCGACCGTTTAACAAAGGCTCCAATGCACAACGTTTCACCCATGATAAACAAAACCAACCAGCTTCCCTTCCTACACAAAATAACTCCGGAGGAGAGTTAAAAACCAATAAAAAATAAACCTCAGATTCGTTTTCCACGGCAGATAATGACCAGTGGGTGCTCCTGGTCGTTATTACAGATGTGCCTGACCTTTCAGAGCATTGGCAGCTGGAAACTATTTCTTTTGGTACTTTCTGCCTCCAGTTCACGTATTCTTCGAGCTTACAGCCCAATTAGAACTATGTAAACGTAGAGTGCCCCAGCCTCGCTCAAAGGGGACTTGCAAACAGGGTTGTAAGAGCTGTGCCTGCTGAAACCAACACTCGACCTGGAGGTATTAACATTTCAAAAGACAATGAGACAAATTCTGCTCGCAGCTACATCCCTGTTTGACTTCAGTGGGCGGGGGAAGGAAATCTGGGAGCAGAATTTGGCCCTTTAACTTCGGGAGTCATCTCGGTCGATAAGAAGCACAAAGCAAGGATTTGCTTATCCAAGGCCATTATTTTCCAGAACTGTACCGCAGATGCCAAAGTTGGCAGCTCTCTCTAGAATAACACGTTTGCCCTGCTCCCAGCCAACTTATCACGGACTTTAAGTAAACAGCGGGGGTCCGGGGAGGGAGGGGGGGTCAAGAAGAGCAGCCAGAGAAGTTTTTCTTTTTCTTTTTTTTTTTCTTTTTTTTTTTTTTTTCCCTAGATTCAAGGGAGGGCTTTGGACAAGTCTGGAGACGAAAGGCCGCTACTGCAGGAACCGGGTGTAACAAAACTTGAAAACTTGTCTCAGGAATTCCCTCCTCAAGCGCTGCTGCTAGCTGCTCTCCATGCCAGAGAAAGGGAAGGGTAGTTTGGGTCCAAAAGGTTAAGGGTTTAGAGGTCACTCTTCCCGGCTGAAATACAACTAATCGAATAGAAAATTTGTCCTCTGGGTGAACCTGTTCCTGCAATTTAGCCGAACTTCAGTAAAATACCTTTTCAGCTTCTCAACGTGAAGGCGTCAGAAAAAAGACGTCTTTACTATGTATGAACTCGGTGCTTTTTGTCATAGAAACAATGATGCGAATAATGCAGGAATATCCATCTTTAATATCACGACGTGGAGATATTCAAGTATTGCCATGTGCAAGTCTGAGAACTGGGCTAACCCTAAGGAAGAACAAAGAGTTTTCTCCAGGCTCTAAAACAAAAGACCAAGTCTTACAAGACACTTCGCGGAGTTCTAGGGATGAGAAAAGGGCAGAAATTAACCGCTGGCCACAGTTAATGCTGCCCAATACACTCCTGTTGAAAAGCTCGCCTTTTATTTTCGAATTCATTCAAGCCCATTTTGGCCAGTGTTTTCCCGAGCGAGCCCAGAAAGCAGTGAGTCCTCGGTGGGAAGCACCCAGCCTGGAGATTCACCCCCTGCTCTTTCCACCTCCCTTCAGCGTTTGCTCTGGGTTTCCTTCTTTGCCCTTTTTCTCTTTAATAAAGGGATCATCTTGTTGCAATTTCCATGATATGGTCCCTCTCCCAGGCTGCCCTGAGGGTACAGGAGATAAGGGCTGAGCTTTAAAATCGCCTGAGCGGAGGCGTAAGTGGCGGAGGGAGCTGGTTTGGCTGGGTTTGGTAGTTACAGAGCACTAAAACTTTGGCACGATGCAGCCAACAGCCAGGGACAAATCCGTGGGTATTAGACCAGCTCTGCTCCCATCCAAGCCTTTCCCCTTTCCCTGAAAGCAACTTGCTGAGATTTTCAACCATTGTAGTCATATGTCATGGTTTGCTTAAAAACAATCATTGTTCTTCAAAAAAAAAAAACCACCCCAACAGACCAAAATAACCCCAAAACAAAACAGCAACCCACATAGCCTATCTCTCTCCTGGGCAGAAAAGAAATTTAAAATCTGATTGAAAGTATGCATTCAGCTTTCAGCTTTGAATGGCTCAGGTTATATCAAAAATTGCATTAATTTTTCACTCTGGGGTTTTCTTTTTAGTATTTTGTCGTGGGTGTTGGGGTTTTTTTGTGATCTTTTTTTTCTTTTCCCCTCTTTTTTTTTTTTTTTTTTTTTCTTTCCATTTTTAAATGAGGTATCGATGGTTTAAAGCACAGCGCTTAGCAGAGCAGACTTTGGAAACAGATTTCAAGCCTGTTAGCCCCGGATGGCACACGGTAAGGAGCAGGGACGCTTTTCCTATTCACAAAGAAGGAAATTCAAAAAAAGGGACAAGAAAGTTGTGTACGTTCAAGACAAGTAAACATTATACATGTTTTCATGAGACTGGGAAGGAGAAATACTGTATTTCAGCTCCCCTTCCCCGTTTTTGGTTTGACTATTTTTCTTCTTATCTTCACTCTTCTACATAACAAATAAATAAATACGCTAACACTATCAGTACATAAAATAACCCGTTTTCACTTAATTCCTATACACATCTTCTGAGACGTTATGGAAATGAGCAAGTATTTTCATTACACCAAGAAAGGTAAAGCAGCACAAAAAGTTCACAATTACTAGTCTTCATGTTCAAATAAAAGACTATGCTACAAATTTCCTGTCCTCAACTTGCCCAAATGCATCCTCCCGAAATTGCATGGGATAAAAAGACAGTTAAAAGTAAAAATCCCAGAATAAAGCATCAAACCTTCACTTTCGAATTCAAAACTGAAACACAGGACAGTTTCATTTTCAATGATTTATTACTTTTTATGGACAGAAGGTCTCGTTTAATATTTTCCCAATTCCCACTGCCTGCATGATGTTTCTTTTTTTTTTTTTTCTTTCCCCCTTTTTTTTTTTTTCCTTTTTTAGGTTGTGCTAGCAGAGGCAAATAAAATAAAGTCCAAAGTAGCGTCATTTTGTCTCCTTTGTACAACAGTACCTTAAAGAAAGATGACAGTTTCTCGAGTCCTTAGCTGCTACATGCAGGTTCTGCTTGGGCATTGTCAGTTATGTACAGTACTGGTCAGAAGCGAAGGATGAAATGGAAAATTTCACCTCTTCTACAAAGTTGTCAAGTCAGTCTGATGGTCCTTGGAACCAGTCTGTAAATGGGGGTTTGAACCAGAGGAAGACGACCTGCCCTTCGTGTTGGGCAGTTTGTGATCTTTTTTCCACTTCATTCTTCTGTTCTGAAACCAGATCTTGATCTGGCGCTCAGAGAGACACAAAGTGTGGGCTATCTCGATACGGCGGCGCCTGGTCAGGTACCTGTTAAAATGAAATTCTTTTTCCAGTTCTAGGACTTGCTGTCTGGTGTAAGCTGTGCGGGAGCGTTTAGGTTCCCCTCCGTTGTAATTGGGATTCACTGGGAAAAAAATACGGAGAACTTTACAAAGCTAATCTTGACTTGCCGGTTCGACTTTACAAAAGAAAACCTTACGAGCTGCGAGCATGTGGCCGGGCTGGATTCGTCCCAGTTGCTTACAATGGACGGGCTGCTCTCCCCCTCATTTAAGGCAGGCACTACAGGCACACGCAGCTAGGTAGGCTGGGAGCCTCTAGCAGGCTCCTAAAATGGAGTTTTTCTCCTGCACGGCAAAGCCCCGCATGGCCAACGGCCTATTTCCTCAGCAATAAAAATTTATGACGAGTGTAATTGGCTACCTCGGCTTAAAAAGCTCGTCCACGAGTCTGGCAGGGACTCGAGCGAGCGTCGCTGAGGAGGATCGGGAGCAGGGTAGAAGAGCAAAGTAAGAAGAGGATCCTTACCCGAGTTAACATGGACTTTCTTCATCCAGGGGTAAACTACTGCTGGCTGCTTAAGTGCTGACCCGTTTGGGGGTTTGAGGGCCGGCTGCTGGCTGCAGGCTCGCGAGTTGGGCATTGGAGGCGGTGGACAATGCTCTGCTTGGCCGGGGAAGTGGCTCGCTGGGCCGGATTGCTCCTGTCCATGACCCCGCGGCTGCACGGCAGAGCCTTGGGCATTGCTACAGCTAAAGGGCTGCTCGCTGTAGTTTGACCGTGGATAGAGTCCCTGGTGCTGGAAATCAGAGCCCTGCGAGGCACTGTAGTACTCGGCCCCCTGCTCGCCTAGGTAGCTATTCTGCAAATATTCCTCGCAAGGAGGAAATTTGGGATCCACATACTTAGAGTTCACCATATACGAACTCATGGCCATTAATTTCTGAAGGTAGAAAATACTAATTTTTCTCGTGTTGTCTTTTTTTCCCCTGCCATAGAGCCCTCCTACTTGCTGTCAACTGAATAAAGTTAGGCGGGCATGTGACCGGCCCGGCCAATGGGGAGGCGGGAGCCGATCACCGGATTTCTCCGCAGCTCAGCATTTCCACCAATTTCCCTCAATAATATCCCTGTAACCGAGTGACCCCCCTCTCCGGCGGGTCGCACCCCCCAGATCAGGTACCGGAGGTGTAGGGGTACTCCTCGGGCGGCGGCCCCCCCCCCGGCCCGCAGGTAGGGCCAGCCTTTTGTCTGAGCTGGCTTCCCTCAGCCCCGGTGGGTGATGCCCCGCCGTCTGATTTACCAGCCGCAATCGCCACCGGGGTTTGTTACCTCGCGTTAAACAAAATATCGAAAGAGATGTACGGAGCGAGGAGCTGAAGTGGGGTTAAAAGGCAGGAAACTGGTAAGGAGGCGAGGAAAGGAAAAGCCATCAAAGAAGAGGGTAATATGATGTACAATAGATCTGTCCTGGCTTTGTCTCGCAGAGGTCATCCAAAAGTTAGCAGAATTTAGTTCTGCTGAATAAAATTAGGCAATCAGTAACTTCTCATTCACTTCCAAGCCTCGATATATATGTGTGCACACGTATGCGCGCACACACGCAAACGCACACGTGTATATATAAATCTGTACACGTATGTATGTAAAATCATACAGATGGCAAGAAACCGTTCACTTTTAACCACTAAAGTTCAATCAATTGAACTGAAGACGGCATTTAATTAGGTTAAAAATATCACGGGTTTAATGAGATAAATTCGGTCTTCATTCATCAATATCATTCCTGGAGCCCAAGTAAATACATTCCAGTGAGGAGAATGCTGCTTTTGCTGCTGTCGTAAATATTTTGATGCGATCTGGACCCTTGACAGGAAAATTTTGCTAACGTCTGGCATATCTAGCTAATTTATGAGTATCTTTTTAATGATTCATTCACTGATTGGTAGATTTTTTTTTTTTCCAGAAAATTTGTAACTTCTGGTGAGATTAACTGTTTAAATTCACAGTCTGTCAGTGAGAGTTACGACTGAACGACAACTGAAATTTTAAGAGACGTCCTAAAACCTAGCAAATAGGAGCGAGGCAGCAAAACTTTTATAATTTCTGAGTGTTCAGCACGCACATGCCTTTTGATTCCGCCAGTATTTAAACTTCTAACCATTTGCAGAAAGGTGAAGTTTTTGCATCGACCATATATTCCCCTAGAATCGAATCTGTGACTATATGAATATCACACAAATTCGGTTCTACAGGGTATATATAGACAACGTAATAACATTCTGTTTTCATCTACAATATAGCAGGTCTTTGCAATTCTCTTAGTCCTTACTGTCTTCTGAGGAATGCAAACTATTCTGCTGGGACTCAGTTCTGAAATACGGATTTGCAGGAAGGTGGGATTTCAGAAAAGATTCACGCTTGTTATTATTGCTGCAATAGAGCTATACGACTCTCCACCAATCTACAGCGATGAATTTCGCCTACCAAATTCTCAGAAAGACCTGCTGCTCACTTTAAATGCTCTGCCGTTTACGTCCTCGCTACGGAAAACGGACGTTACCGGTCAAATTGCGCTATTTAGAATAATAATGGTTACAACAATTTAGAAAAGAGCCTTTATCTATTTAGGCTAACACGAATCTGAAGAGATTCTCCATAATTAGAAATCCCCCACCCCCTTACAAAAAAAGAATTAAAAAAAAAAATCGAAACAGAAGAAAAACAGCCGACAACAGAAACAGCGATTGGTGAAAAAGAGGAGATTAAAGGCTGGAGTTAGTTGCTCTCGGGAAGAAGAGAGTTTCCAAATTTACCTTCGTCCCATTATGCTGGTCTAGCTATTATCCCCGCGAGCTGCCTGCGAGCCGCAGCCTCGCACCCTCCCAGGTTCTCCCCGCCGTAGCGTTTATGGTGAAGGGCAGGGCGAGAGGTCAGCCGAAATCATTTACAAACATATCACAAAGTTTCATTATTTTTACTTTGTCGACAGCGGCACACAGGAGTACAAAAGTTCATGAATTGTGTCTGACCCAGCTCCTCACTGCTGTCCTGCGGTCAACCTCTTCTCCTTCCACTATTTAAAACAGGCACCATAAGGACAAATAATGGTGCGAGTGTGGTACGTCCAACCACTGCGGAGGGCAGATTTGGGGGTGTTGCGTTTATCCGAGCGATGTGTACCGGTTTGTTTGCCTGCCTCCAACTCCCAGCTGCCTGATCTGGGGGATGCTATTTTTAAACATCTGCTTTCTTAGCACTGTGGTGGTGTCTTCTTCACAGCAAGTGCAACTCGAAACGACTTTGTTTCCCTAATTTCTTCTCTCCTCC